GCTGCACACCCCTAATGTCAAGTGAAACTTGAACATTTGGAAGAAAAGCTGCCTTTTTGCACAATGAATTTCATTAAGTGTCAGTTCAACTAATATAATATAATAATGAAATTAATGTATGACTGTTTGTTATATATGTATGTCTCCTTTATACAAAATGTAAATACTTGTATATGATAGAATATAATCATCAAATATAACTGGAAAAAAACATGATTTCTTTAAACAGCATACACACCTGCCTAGGCAACTTTAGTCAGCTTGGATATTGCCCTTTATCCCACAGGAGCAGGATCTTTTTCCCGAGTACAGTGCACAGACCTAAAATTTGAAATATGAGAGAATTTATTAAGAGATGGTATGCCTTTTTCTTAAAGATGCGTCGCTATAGCAGACTTTCTGACTCCAGAAATGACCGCGATGAACCCAATCTCTCTAACTCCAGTGATGACAGCGATTCAAGCATTGGAACACCTCCTTCATTCAGTAGTGAGTACATTTCATAATGAAGCTGAGTAACATCAGTGTTTTGTGTAAGCAGCATCAAGCAGCAAAATCACCATCAGAAACCACAATCTGATGTCACAGATAACCTTAGTTGTACATTTCAGTTATAACTACATTATGTATAAGTTATATATGTTGAAAAAAAAATTATAATTTAAGACACGTATCTCCAAATTGTGTTTCTGATCGAGAGATTCTTATGATGATATTCTAGAATAGTAATTTTGAGACCATTTAAAATATTCATGGGGATGGGTAAAAATATTAATTTTCGGTCTCTTTTCACTTTTTTTATCCATCACATTCTATCGATATAATTTTTCAAGTCAAAATGTCTCAAATTGAATTAGCTGTCATTTAAGTGACAATGTTGAAAATGTGGGATATGACTTCAATTTCAATTAGTAATGTAACTGTATAGAATAAATAGAGACAAAAGTATTTCAGAGACGATTAATATAGCATGATACATGTGTATTCATTACTGTTTCAAAATTGCTCATATTGTGGTATAAGTTTTTGGTCAAAAAAAAAAAAAAAGTTGTCTAACCAGGGAACTGTTATAAAAAGTCACTTCAAAATGCTTTAAACCCCCATACTGGGCAAACCAGTGACAACTGTGCAAATATGTTTGGAAAACTTCATCCTCTGGCATTCCCAATTCATGACAATTCTGTGTCTTCTAACATGTGTAAATCTTGATTGTAGAATTGTTAGAAGATCATGGATACACCATAAATGAAGAACTTGGACAAAGGGATTCGGGAAAAGTGTTTCTGGTGAATGACAAAGATGGAAATCCTTATGTAATCAAAAAGATTAATTCCAGAAATGTAAGTACCATCAAGCATATACTAAATCAAGTATTTAGTACCATATTATTGTCATATTTTGTTGCTGTTAAAATGCTATTAAAGATGCAGTTTTGTAATTGCTACGAGTGTCAATTGTATGTGCTTCATGAAAAAAAAAAATTACAAATTAAAATTTTGCCCCACAGAAGAAGGAAGTCAAGATCTTGAAAAGTCTGGAGCATGGATATATTGTTACTTATGCAGATTTTTTTGAAGGTGTGTTTAAATTGTAGGAAAAGATTAATGGTAATGTTCCTTTGTCATTTTATTTTAATTAAAGAGAAAAAATAACAATGAAGACATACTGTGTAGAGAAAGATAATAACATGAACAAAACAAAAACATCTGTGTTTTTTTGGCTGTGAAATAAAGCCATTACACTAATAAATAAATATAAGTTATATTACTGACTGGATATATCTTTATTTAGATAAAGAAGCAGGACTCTTTTGTATTGTGATGGAGTATTGTGCTGGAGGAAATCTTTACCAGAGGATGAAAGCACAGAAAGAGAGAGGGTTTTTTGAAGAACAGCAGGTGAGTGTCTTATATGGACATAACATACTCTGGTCAAATGTGCATTCATTCATTTTAATGAAGATAAATATTTATGTACAAGTTTGAAAATATTAATGTATACATTGTTCCTTTGATAAATAGCTAATAGTAACTCTGTCTAAAGTGAGTAAATATGCTGTTAGAAAAATCCAATATTAAATTTGAGAAAGACAGAAACTCTGGTCCAGCTGTTTTTAGACTAACGAGAAGGTTTTGAGTTCTGAAAATTACAGGATGTTTTTATAGTACAGTGACTCCATATGTCAAACATTCAAGGGGATTTTGATTTCTCAGTTCATGATCCCTTTGAATATATTCTTACAGAGGCCCAGATGATGCTCTCACATCAAAAACATTATAAAAAGTAACATGTAGCCCATAGGTTACATCAATGTTCCACAATAGTACTAAAACGGAAAGTACTGAGGTAGTCCAGACCACCCTACAGAATATTGGTACACTTTTTAATGGGCAGCCTGTACCCTAGTACTGATAATAATAATAATTAATAATAATTCGTTGCATTTATATAGCGCTTTTCTAGGCACTCAAAGCGCTTTACATTGTCAGGGGGTATCTCCTCATCCACCAGCAGTGTGCAGCATCCACCTGGATGATGTGATGGCAGCCATAGTGCGCCAGAATGCCCACCACACACCAGCTTATTGGTGGAGAGCAGACAGAGTGATGAAGCCAATCAGCAGATATGGGGATTGTTAGGATGCCATGATGATCAGAGGCCAATGGGCAAATTTGGCCAGGATGCCGAGGTCACACCTCTACTCTTTTCAAAAGACATCCTGGGATTTTTAGTGACCACAGAGAGTCAGGACCTCGGTTTAACGTCTCATCCGAAGGACGGTGCTTGTTGACAATATAGTGTCCCCGTCACTATACTGGGGCGTTAGGACCCACACAGACCACAGGGTGAGCACCCCCTGCTGGCCTCACTAACACCTCTTCCAGCAGCAACCTAGTTTTCCCAGGAGGTCTCCCATCCAGGTACAGCCCTGCTTAGCTTCAGTGGGCAACCAGTCTTGGGCTACAGGGTGATATGGCGGCTGGCCATACTGATGAAAGGCTCGAAACAACCTTGTAAGAGTAAAGATGCAGCCTTTTAGGATATAAAGTGATAGCTGAAAAAAAAATACAAATACATAGGTCTGCAATGTTTAACTAAATACTGTACTAATGAACTCACTGCTTTCTCCATGTTTATCATCTGTGTAGATTCTTGACTGGTTTGTTCAGATTTGTCTGGCTCTGCAGTATATTCATGAGAGGAATATTCTTCACAGAGATATAAAACCACAGGTAAACACTGACAAAATCTCAAGAAATTATTTGTCACCAAACCAAATAATATAAAATTCCCCTGCTGGCCTCACTAACACCTCTTCCAGCAGCAACCTAGTTTTCCCAGGAGGTCTCCCATCCAGGTACAGCCCTGCTTAGCTTCAGTGGGCAACCAGTCTTGGGCTACAGGGTGATATGGCGGCTGGCCATACTGATGAAAGGCTCGAAACAACCTTGTAAGAGTAAAGATGCAGCCTTTTAGGATATAAAGTGATAGCTGAAAAAAAAATACAAATACATAGGTCTGCAATGTTTAACTAAATACTGTACTAATGAACTCACTGCTTTCTCCATGTTTATCATCTGTGTAGATTCTTGACTGGTTTGTTCAGATTTGTCTGGCTCTGCAGTATATTCATGAGAGGAATATTCTTCACAGAGATATAAAACCACAGGTAAACACTGACAAAACCTCAAGAAATAATTTGTCACCAAACCAAATAATATAAAATAATTAGTTTTCACCAAATAATAATTTCTGTTGTCATTGTAGAACGTTTTTCTGACTGAGGACGGTTACATCAATCTTGGGGATTTTGGATGCTCAAAAACATTGGAAAGGTAAGTAAATAAATACTTAATTACTTGCATAGACACATACATAGTTAAAATATATACTGTACAAACATACATAGATCTTTATTTCAATCACACTTCACTTTTTCTGCGATAACTAAACAAAGTCAAACAATAGTATTTCATAATATATTTATGTTATGATCTGATTACTACCATAAAATAAGCTCCAACAAATTAGATAGTGTACTGTATGTTTAAAATAGTATGCATGCAATCTGGGCAATGAGCGTACTACTATAGATTTCAACTACAGTAAAGGGAAGTATTTATATTGGAACACTTTTCTTGAATGCAATTCTTGAATTTGGTGAAAGCTTAGGATTTAAGGGGCTCAGTTGCCATACTGGACAGTTTAAGATGCATCCTTAAGGCATGGATCCCCCAGCCTGACAATAACCAATTATTTCTTAGCTATACACATATGCAGAGAATACGACAATTACAAAATAAAGAGAGTGTAGAGAATTCAAGCGTAGTTCAGGAAGACCACTTGCCAACTGCCCAGATTGCATGCATACTATTTTAAACATACAGTATAGTATATAAGCTTACCACATCAGGTATCACTCAGCTGATCAATTTCTCCACCTACTCTAAACAACAACCCTATTTAAGACCATTCAACGCATGTTCTTCAGTCTTTTCAGTCTTCAGCACAGACATTTGCACCCACCACCACCCCTTTCACCTCCTGGCATACAGCATTGGATTCTTAGATATGTATCAGTACTGAACCAACATTCGTAAACATTCAGTCCAATAAATGGGATTTTACCCATGCTTTCTCTATTGTTAGCATGTTGGATAGACACAATGATTAGCATAGATAACACATCTCAGTCCATACCAAAGTCAGTCATTCTACTTCATTCAGGCAGATAAAATGGGGGGGGGATACTCATAATGACTACATATGTTCTTCTGAAAATTTTATTGATTTTTATAACCACTACATTAGCAGATTTGGACTCTTCTGGAAGCTGGTTCTAACGGTGGGTGGCATGAGTGATAAAAGCAGACTCTCCTTTTATCCCTTTTTTACTAAACCAGGATAATTTCACATGAATGCTGCTTTTCACCACATCAGTGTTTCTGTTATTGAATTTTAAAGTAATGTTTCTGTTATTTATTTATTATGTTTTCCTCTTTTGGCCAGTGCTTGGTTCATCCCTAATCTTTTTGACATTTTATCAGTTTAGGTTTACATGAATTGTTCTTTTTCAGAGCTGATGCGTATGCAGAATTAGTAGTGGGTGCAGAGCTGTATGTCAGTCCAGAAGTTTTGAAAAAGAAATATAACCGTTATTTTATGAAGCTACGAGAATATTTTTTGTGCACAAAGAAAACAAAAATAATGACTTTATTCAACAATTATTCTTTTCCATGTTAGCTGTTTTCCCATTAACATTTCAAATTGTATAAATGAACATAATGTATGCTACTGTATTATTAAAAACATGATTTAACAAAATTAACAATTGGTTAGTAAATTTATAAACTTGCATTAACCTAGATTTATTAAATTTGAAAAAAAGTTGTTAATTGTTCGTTTGAGATACCTAATGCCTTAACTCAGTGGTTTTCAGCTCTGGCCTTCGAGGTCCACTCACCTGCCAGTATCTTTCTAGTGATCCTGAAGAGCTTGATGAGCTTGTTCAGATGTGTTTGATTAGGCTTGTAGCAAAACTCTGCAGGAAAGTGGACCTTGAGGGCCAGAGTTAAGAACCCCTGCCATAAAATCATTAACAAATTAAACCTTATTTAAAGTGTTAAATAAAGCTTGCTCAGTAGGATTTATCCAGATTTTATTTTATTTTTTTATCCCACAGTCAGATGACATAGAGCGTCGTTTTCAACATATCAACAGTATGAGAGGAAACACCCCCCAAATCTCAGAGATATACTCAGAAGAACTACGAAAATTAATCAAAGAAATGCTCAGCTGTGACCCTGAAGACAGACCTTCAGCTGATGAGATTTTAGCAAAACCATTCCTAAGAGATGCTGTAAACAGAAATAGGAGAATTCCAGAAGCACTGGAACGAAGGTTCATGATGTCCTTAAGGATCTTTGATGAGAACTACAATGAGCACTACGATCATTTTGAGGCCTTAGTTTCAGAGTGGGGAGAAACAACAGCTTCACTAGAGGAGGTTCATCATAAATGTACTATAGGCACTCTGGCAGGTTCAGTGATTGGAGCAGCAGGAGGAATCACTGCAGTGGTTGGTGCGATTTTGGCTCCTTTCACTTTTGGAGCATCTCTGATTGTTACAGGTGTTGGGATTGGAGTTGGTGTTGCAGGTGGTGTAACAGGTGCTGCGTCCAGTGTTACCAATACAGTCAAACAAAAATCACTCCGTGAGAATATTCAAAGAATTCAGCAGAACTTTACAGATGTGACACCACTTCTCGAGTCACTGAATGCACTGAGAAGGGTACTGAGAGTAATCCAAAAGTTCAGGGATTTTGTCAGTGACTCCTCTGAAAACGTGCAAATGTCATGCAATGTAGACAGAACAAGACTAGTGTGCGGTGCAGAACTCCTGAATATCGGTCTGCTGGCAAATGTTGGCAGAATTGCTGCTCAAACCACTAGAGTAGGACGCGCTGCAGCAGAGGCAATAGTCGCAGTCACAGGAGTGTTGAGTGGAATCCTAGTCATTGTTGACACCGCATTCATAGTGATGGATTCTGTAGACATTCACCAGATGAGACAGGGACCAGTAGATGATCCAGACAAGGTCAAGTCAAGTTTACTCAAGTCCATTGCTCAGATGAGGAAAATACATACAGATATTTGCAATGTCTTAAAGGAAATTAAAGAAACAAGAGAGAAACTAACAGACTTATATAGAAGTGGCCAGGGCTGAAAGAGATTTAGAGAGTTCAAACATATGATACAAGTCAGAGACACACACAACATCCTACTGAATTGTCTGTGAGCTTGAGTGAAGAAAAAGCATTTTGCTGAAAATGAATTAAATGTCTATGTTGTACTCAGTCAAACAACAGAAGACGTACAACGTATGAGGTCAGACGTTTGCAATCATTCTATTTTGTAAATATCAGCTAATATATATTAAATACTTTAGATATACAAAGATGGTGCACTGGCGGAATAGTCCTGTCTTCTAAAACACTAATTGTTGAAGTTATTGCATCACCGCAGCTGAGAGTGCAAAGAGGTGTTTCAAAGATGGCCACTGAGTGAAATTACTTGCCTTAAAGGGACTTTGCTATGTATCTATTATACATAAGACAATGGGTCTCATTCATTAGTGATTACATGGATCATTCCTATTCATACAAAGGAAATTTTACAGTATGTGGGTACATCAATTTGTTCTTAACCTTGTTTTAATGTTAATGAATTTTGAATAAAACACACCCAAACCATCTCCATATCACAGCCTTTCATCAATTTCATCAGCCTTTCAGTAAACATATATGCTCTCTAAATATCTTAATGTTTATAAGGCTTTTTTACACATGTGTATTTTTTTATTTTTTTATTTAGAAACCAAATATTTTCTACAAAAGTTACTGATTAATCATGATGTGTTTGTGAAAACCTTTGTACTCAGATTTCACACAAATACAGGTGCATCTCAATAAATTAGAATGTTGTGGAAAAGTTCATTTATTTCAGTAATTCAACTCAAATTGTGAAACTCGTGTATTAAATAAATTCAATGCACACAGACTGAAGTAGTTTAAGTCTTTGGTTCTTTTAATTGTGATGATTTTGGCTCACATTTAACAAAAACCCACCAATTCACTATCTCAACAAATGAGAATATGGTGACATGCCAATCAGCTAATCAACTCAAAACACCTGCAAAGGTTTCCTGAGCCTTCAAAATGGCCTCTCAGTTTGGTTCACTAGGCTACACAATAATGGGGAAGACTGCTGATCTGACAGTTGTCCACAAGACAATCATTGACACCCTTCACAAGGAGCCACAAACATTCATTGCCAAAGAAGCTGGCTGTTCACAGAGTGCTGTATCCAAGCATGTTAACAGAAAGTTGAGTGGAAGGAAAAAGTGTGGAAGAAAAAGATGCACAACCAACCGAGAGAACCGCAGCCTTATGAGGATTGTCAAGCAAAATCGATTCAAGAATTTGAGTGAACTTCACAAGGAATGGACTGAGGCTGGGGTCAAGGCATCAAGAGCCACCACACACAGACATATCAAGGAATTTGGCTACAGTTGTCGTATTCCTCTTGTTAAGCCACTCCTGAACCACAGACAACGTCAGAGGCGTCTTACCTGGGCTAAGGAGAAGAAGAACTGGACTGTTGCCCAGTGGTCCAAAGTCCTCTTTTCAGATGAGAGCAAGTTTTGTATTTCATTTGGAAACCAAGGTCCTAGAGTCTGGAGGAAGGGTGGAGAAGCTCATAGCCCAAGTTGCTTGAAGTCCAATGTTAAGTTTCCACAGTCTGTGATGATTTGGGGTGCAATGTCATCTGCTGGTGTTGGTCCATTGTGTTTTTTGAAAACCAAAGTCACTGCACCCGTTTACCAAGAAATTTTGGAGCACTTCATGCTTCCTTCTGCTGACCAGCTTTTTGAAGATGCTGATTTCATTTTCCAGCAGGATTTGGCACCTGCCCACACTGCCAAAAGCACCAAAAGTTGGTTAAATGACCATGGTGTGTTAACATGCTTGGATACAGCACACTGTCAACAGCCAGCTTCTTCGGCAACGAATGTTTGTTGCTTACCCTCCTTGTGAAGGGTGTCAATGATTGTCTTCTGGACAACTGTCAGATCAGCAGTCTTCCCCATGATTGTGTAGCCTAGTGAACCAAACTGAGAGACCATTTTGAAGGCTCAGGAAACCTTTGCAGGTGTTTTGAGTTGATTAGCTGATTGGCATGTCACCATATTTTAATTTGTTGAGATAGTGAATTGGTGGGTTTTTGTTAAATGTGAGCCAAAATCATCACAATTAAAAGAACCAAAGACTTAAACTACTTCAGTCTGTGTGCATTGAATTTATTTAATACACGCGTTTCACAATTTGAGTTGAATTACTGAAATAAATGAACTTTTCCATGACATTCAAATTTATTGAGATGCACCTGTAATACAAAATTGCATGTTTGTTTATTTATAGTTTTTATGGTTTACTGTTAGAAAATAAATTTTGGATGTGATTTACTTTTTTATTTATGGGTATACAAACAAAAGCCAAACCTGAATCTGAAGTATTCCAAATTAATACTGTACTCTCATTTTCTGATATAAACTGAAGATGTAATTTTCCTCTTACTTCAGATTACTGTCTAACTACACTTCTGAAAATGATTATTCCTGTATTAATTCACTGCATTCTTGATTGTTCTTGCATAATCATGACACAATGAGCATAATTTACAAATGATTTGCCATATTTTGTTTGTTTGTGATTCACTTGATCAAAGTATTCATGTAAAATATGTCTATAATAAACATGAAGCACATTAAAGAAAAAAGGGAGTCTAGTGTTCTTGCAAATGAATGAATTGGAATCAATCAGCAGTTTGTCGCATTCGATTAATCGTGCAGCCCTACGCAGTAGTGTAAATAAAATATAGATTTTTTCATTAATTACAAAATATGAATCCACCACAAACCTAAATTTATATGTAATAAACCATTATACAGTGTCCTAAACAGGTACAAGCCAACAAGTTTCCAGTGACATGTAAACTGTCTGTCTACACTGAAAGCGAAAATGCTGCTGAGTGATATGACAACATCACTAAGCGCGTTTCCATTACCCTTCAAATTGCGCAAATTGAAATTGCGAATTGAAAATACGCCTAATGGAAACACATCAATTTCGCAAAAACGCCCATATATCGCAAATAAGTTTTTACGCTCGCATGAGGTGGTTTTTCAGGCAATGCGAAAAAGGATTAATTCGCAAAACTGCAATGGAAACGGCTTTTTCACATTTACAGGTCACATGGCGTATGTAAAACGTCATATTATCATTCTTCAATGTACTATAACCTCCAAGAAACACTTCATACGTGGCCGCGCTCCAGTATAAGGGGCTTTCCCTACCATTAATGCTTAGACAATTTACACTGCACACGTCTGCGGTGCAGTGAGGCTCTGATACGGCCACTGAAGCTGATTACGGCCACTCAATGCTTGTGTTTATGTTTTTATACAGTCTGTGGTTTATTCCAGCTGCGCCACGTACGTTTGAAGCGGCTCTCTGTGCTGCTTCTGTAAAGATACACGCACAGTGTTGCCAACTAATTTTCAGGGGAAGTTGCTAAAGGAA